TGATTTTTAAAAAGCTCTTTGACATGGTAAATCATTTTCTTATTGTTGATTATATTTTAAATGCAAGTTTTCTTTCTTTAACCATTCATTTAAAAAATTTTAATAATAAAATATACCAAACTTAAGTAAATGGTTATGGTTTTCATGGTATACTTAGAAGGTCCTTTCCCATGCAAAGATTACGGAACATATTCACCTACATTTTCTCCCAGTAATATTGTGGTGTCTTTTCATTTTGTTTTGTTTTACATTCAGATATTTAATCTATCTGGGTTTTGAGGAAGAATAAGAATTGATGTGAGAGTGCTTTGTTTCCTAAAAGGCAGCCAAATACTCTAATCCCATTTTTAAATAATACACTTTTTTCCTATTGAATTAGGTGACATCTTTATCATTAATTCCCTTATATTCTTGAGCTTGATTCTAAATTCTCTGTTTTATTCCATCGAGTTGTTGATTTCTGCATTGGTTATAGTCTAGTGTCTGAAAATGATTGTTCCACATTTTGTTTTATATTTGTTTCTAACAAGAGGGCTACTCCTATACCAGTTACTTTATCAAAGCTGAAAGTAGAAGCAATAAAGTGATTTTTGTTTAGAGCATCCTCAATTAAGTACTATTGAGATTTTCTTATTTTTATATTTTTTTCTGTATGAGCAATATTTGGCCTTTTAAAAAACTGTAAGGCACCAAAACATTAGAAAAGAAGAAAAACAACTCATCCATAATTTCAGTACCCAAAGTCAACTACTCTCCAACATTTTGGAAATATTTTTATTTTGGTCTTTTCTGTGCATTTTGAAACTATATATTAGCATTGGTACCTAAGGCATTAGCTAAACCACTTTGGGTAAGTACCAATAAAAGATGATTTTTATTGTTATCATTAACGATATTAATAATTATTTGCAGGGTGCAGAGGAAACAGTAATGCTCAGATAATGCCTAGACAAGAGACAGGGAAAAAGAAAATGACAGACATTACTTTGGAGCTGACACTTCTGAGAACAGGTAAATTATTCCCTGTGGGACTTCGTAAATAATTATGGGAGAAGATGTGGTTCTTTGAATAACTATAAGAACTTTGCTGTACAATACATTGCTAGGACTTATTCATCTTGTGTAACTGACACTTGTATAACCTTTGACTAACATCTCCACATTTCTTTCTCCCCTCAGCTCCTGGAAATCACCATATCAATCTCTGCCTCTATGAGTGTGACTATTTTACATTCCTCATATAAGTGATATTGTGTAGTCCTACATCTGGCTTATTTCACTTAACATAATGTCCTCTGGGATCATACACTTTGTCACAAATGGCAGGATTTCCTTCTTTTTACAAACTAAATAATATTCCTTTGTTTGTATATTCAATATTTTCTTTATTCATCAAAAGTTTTGGCTATTATGAATAATACTTCAACAAACATAGTAGCACAGATAACTCAAGATTTTGATTTCAGTTCCTTTAGATACATACTCAGAAATGAGAATGTTAGATTGTATGGTAGTTCTATTTTTTTTTTTTTTTTTTTTTTAGGGGAGGCAAGCCTTGGTTGACCTCACAGATTGCAAGGAACTTGTCAGTTTACAATCTCTTATTTTTTATTTTTTTATTTTTATTTTTTATGCCTACAGCACCTGGTCTTCCTAGGTGGTCTCCCATCCAAGTACTAACCAAGCCCAACCCTGCTTAGCTTCCGAGATCAGACAGAATTAGGCTTGTTCAGGGTAGCATGGCCGTAGACTAGGTAGTTCTATTTTTAATTTTTTGAGAAAGCTCCATACTGTTTTCCATGATGGTTGCACCAATTTATATTCCCACCAACAGGGTACAAGTGTTCCTTTTTTCCCACATCCTTGTGAACACTTGTTATCTTCTGGGGTGTTTGTTTGTTAATAATAGCTATCTTAACAGGAATGAGGTTTTATCTCATTGTGGTTTTGATTTGCATTTTCATGATGATTAGTGATGTTGAGCACCTTTCCATGTACCTGTTGGCCATTTGTATGTCTTCTCTGGAGAAATGTCTATCCAGTTCCTTTGTCCATTTTTAAATTGGATTATGTGCCATTGAGTTGTATGAGTTCCTTATATATTTCAGTTATTAACTCTTTATTAGATATATGGTTTGCAAATATTTTTTCCTGTTCTATTAGATGCCTTTTCATTTTTTTTTATTGTTCTCTTTGCTCTGCAGAAGCTCTTTAGTTTGATGTAGTCTCACTTATCAACTTTTGCTTTTCTTACTTGTGCTTCTGGTATTTTATCCAAGAAATCATGGCCAAGACTAATGTCCAGAAGCATTGTCCCTATGTTTTCTTTTAGGAGTTTTATGGTTTCAGGTCTTATATTTAAGTCTTTGATCCATTTGGAGTTGATTTTTGTGTAAAGTATGAACTAAGAGTCCAATTTCATTTTTTTGCATGTGGATATGCAGTTTTTCCAACACCATTTAATGAAGACTATTCTTTCCCCATTGTGTATTCTTGGAACCTTGTCAAAGATCAATTGACCATATACGTGTGGCTCATTTCTGAGCTCTCTATTATATTATATTTGTCTATATGTCTGTTTAAAATCATTATTTTATTATATGATGTGATGAATATATTTTCTTGGGAATATTTTCTGCAACTCATGGTATTAATTTAGAATGAATTCCTAGAATTGGATTTAAAAATTGGGATAACATTGGGGGTTATTAGATGATATTAGGCCTAGGAGACTCAGGAACTCCTAATGATACTCTAGTCCTGGTCATTTCTCCCCTTAGAGTCTACAAAAAAGAAAAAATGTAAAAGAAGTTACCACTTTACATTGATTGAACTAATCTTGAATGTTACTCAAGTTCACAGCTCTGATAAACTTGAGTTGGGGTACTTGATCTAGTCTAAAGTCCTTTAAAGACCTCAACTCTCCTTACAGCTTAAATCCATATTGTATCATTATATTACCTCTGGCTGACAGCATTGATATAGAGGAACAAAGAGATGATGAGTACACCTGGGAGCCAATCAAAAATAAATTAAGAAAACAAGTAAAGTTCTTAAGGGAAAACTTGTTCAACGTATCAGTCTAGTCCCAGGAAGAAGAGAGGAGATGGAAATGGGCATAACCTTTTAAAGAACAGTAACCCTACCCAGTAATAAACATGAGCCAACCAATATCCTAGAATGCTACATATCGGATTTTTACTTCACGTGGGGGAAGCAAGACCTAGTAAAAGGTTATTTTCCCCTTCCCATACTATTGGGAACTGAGTCAAAACATGTAAATATTTAAGTTTTTTAATATACTTGTCCAAATTATCATCCAGAAAGTTGGTACTAATTTTTTACCCACTTGCATTGTACAAAAAATGTCATTTCTTCTGCACCTGCATTATATAGCTAGTGAATTCTGCCACTTATTCATTGTGTGATGTTGGGGAAATAATCTCTCTATGCCTCAGTTTCTTATCTGCAAAATAAGATAATAGTGTCTACTTCATAATGTTATTGGGACAATGTAATCATATTGACCATGTTGCCAGCCAGAAGATAATATGATGATACAATATGGATTTAAGCTGTGAGAAAAGTTGAAGTCTTTTATTTTTCACTTTTTAAAGTTAAATTTATTGGGGGTGGCATTAATATGTAAAATTATATAGGTTTCAAGTGTACAATTCTATAATACATCATTTGTATATTGCATTGCGTGTTTACCACTCAAAGTCAAATCTCCTGCCATCACCATATATTAGATTCCCTTTATCCTTTTATACCCCCCACTTATTTCCTCTGGTAACCACTATACTGTTGTCTGTATCTATGAGTTTTTGTTGTTTGTCTTGTTCATTTGTTGCTTTCAGTTTTATATCACACATATGAGTGAAACCAAATGGTTCTCAACCTTTTCTGTCTGACTTATTTTGCTTAGTGTGATATTCTCAAGATCTTGAATTGAGGTCCTTAAAGTAATACCTATAATGGGTTAAATGCTCAATAAAATACTAGTTATTATTTTTTGTTGTGGTCATTGCTGTTAAAATTTTAGCAAATTTCCCAAGTAAAAAATGTATCTCTCATTATTGTTATTGTATTATTGAGTTATAATTATATTGAACATTTTTCTTAGATTGAGTAGATATTGCATTTCTTCTTTTTAAATAAGTCTGTTCATGTCTTTGGACTCAACAGTTTTCATATTGTTTTATGTGGAATCTTAACATACTAAAGTATTTTAACTTTTGTCTGGCATCTCCCTTGAATAATTCCCTCAGCTTGCAATTTTGTTTGTGATATTATCTTTTAATTTTGTTTATGATATTATGTCATTGAAGTCTTTCAATTTATATTGTAAACTGTACATGTTTTCCTTCATGGTTTCTTAGGAGCTTTTTGTGTTTTTCAATCTCCTCTTACCTAGATATCACAACAATTTTAACTTATTTTTTCTTTTTTTACTATTTTAGTTTTAATATTTTACTTTTTAATCCAAATAGAATGGTCCTTAGTGTATGATATGTTGGGGGCTTTATTTTTAAATCCAAGTTAAGTTTGTTGATTTTTAAAGGTCAAGTTAAATTTGATGCCTGAAAGCCATTTCACATTTTCAAGGATATGTTATAATTAAATATGCAGTATTTTTGAACAGATAGTATGTAGTTTTATGCATGATGATAGTCCTAATTGTATACAGTCATTTCCTAACAGTACGTGTATGGCCATTTAGTAAAGTCCACATGAACTCTAATATACTCACATCAGAACTAGTGAAGAAGGCTTTCACAATGTCACACTCTATCTATTAAAAAAAAAACTAGCACTGGGGGAAAGGGTTTTGGGAAAAATAAGTAGATTAAAATTACAACCAATAAAAATAAAAATATTTTATTTAGTATCAATCGAAACAAGTTGGATAGCAAAAAGCTAAAAATATCAAACTAGGCATCAGTTTTAAATGAGCCTCTTCTACAGGACTTGATATTATAAACCTAAAGATTTCTTTTTGCTTGTGCCAAACAGGTAAACAGGCATAAATCTCAATGGGAGAAGAAAACCAAACTTTCGTGGCTGAGTTTATCTTCCTCGGTCTTTCACGGGACTTACAGACCCAGATCCTTTTATTTATCCTTTTTCTCATCATTTATCTATTGACTGTGCTTGGAAACCTGCTTATTATCATTCTCATCTTCATAGATTCTCGACTTCACACACCCATGTACTTTTTTCTTAGAAATCTTTCTTTCACAGATCTCTGTTTCTCTACTAGCATTGTCCCTCAAGTGTTGATCCACTTCCTGGTAAATAGGAAAACAATTTCTTTTTTTGGATGTATGACACAGATAATTGTCTTCCTTCTGGTTGGTGGAACAGAGTGTGCACTGCTAGCAGTGATGTCCTATGACCGCTATGTGGCTGTCTGCAAGCCCCTGCACTACTCCACCATCATGACCGAACAGGTTTGCCTCCAGTTGGCCATAGCATCCTGGGCCAGTGGGGCACTTGTGTCTCTGGTGGATACCTCCTTTACTTTCCAACTTCCTTATCGAGGACAGAATATTATCAATCACTACTTTTGTGAACCTCCTGCACTCCTGAAGCTGGCTTCAGCAGATACCTACAGCACAGAAATGGCTATCTTTGCAATGGGCGTGGTCATCCTCTTAGCTCCTATCTCCCTAATCCTTGTCTCCTACTGGAATATTATCTCCACTGTGATCCAGATGCAGTCTGGGGAAGGGAGGTTCAAGGCTTTCTCTACCTGTGGCTCCCATCTCATTGTTGTTGTCCTCTTTTATGGATCAGCAATATTCACCTACATGCGGCCAAACTCCAAGACCACAAAAGAGCGGGATAAGATGATAACTGTGTTCTATACAGTGATAACACCAATGTTGAATCCCATTATTTATAGCCTGAGAAACAAGGATGTCAAAGGGGCTCTAAGGAAACTAACTGTAAGAAAGTCTTTTTCTCAGAGACAGTGACCTCTGGGTGTGACTTTTAGAGCTATGGTAACATCCTTAAAAAAGGAGCTGGATTTCAGGGAGAAGCATGAAAGGGGAAACCATATTCTAGAAACTGAATACTCTACGTGAAGCTAGAACATAGGGAAGAAATAAAAAGATGAAAAGTTAGGTTATATCTTGAATATGAAAAGAATTAAGTTCTATTTTGAAGGAGTTTGTGGTTAATTCAGCTAACATAGACATGTTTTAAGTATGATCACAATTAAATCTAGGAGTTTTAAAGTGGATTATCCTGAAATAATGTCTAATGTGAGTTATATGCATGATTCTAACATCAAAAATATTTTAAATTTGAACATCCCAGTCATACAAAGCTAGAAATAGGCTCTGATTGAAACAATCAAAATATCAGGAAGAGCCTTTCATACTGCAATCATTCATGGCCCAGAAGGTTTCAGCTTGTAAAAAGGTGCCAGAGGCAATATTGCTTCCTAGTTCATGTTGTTCTTTCCTGAAAGCTCTTCAAAAAGTTTTTTTTTTTTGTATCATCATTCCAAATTTTATATGAGCATAGAGCATTGGGATAAAAAATGAATTCAACAGTCATCTAATCCAACCATTTGTGTGAGGGCTTAAACCACCCCATGCTATTTTTATTGAATGATTGTCTAGTATTTTCTTAAATATGAATCATATAGACCCTTACTCTCTTGGATTGTTCTCTTTCATATATAGATAGTTTTACTATTGAAAAGATATTCCTCATGGTAGATCAAAACCAATTTCCCTGTATCTTCAATTCACTTTCCCTAGTTTTACTCCTGGGACAATTTTCATTATCCTTCTGTACCACAACTCACTGAAGTCAATTTATTTGTCTAAATTCAGTTCTCACAGCCGACCACCTACTTGTTCCTTTAAAATTCCTTTCTCTACCATAGTTGCCATCCCCACTGTCCAAATTCTAAACCCAAAGAATCCTGAGCAAAATAAAATTGTTGCTCTTTTAAGGCACTACGTTTTGAGGTGTTTTGTTATGCATCAATGGGTAACTAAAATGCTAAGAGAATCATGCTTCTATTAATTCCATCAAAGTAGATGCCAGTGAGGCTTTTTTACACTACCAATGAAAAGCTACCTGCTTGAAACTACTACCTCTCATGCTATATGGGGTGTGGGGATAGGGATAAAGGGCCAGAAAGTTTCTAAAGAAAAAATATGTAGTACACACACTCCCAAAACATAATAAATATGATGTATCAATCAGTGTTCTTATTTGCAAGTAACAGAAACTGAGTATGCGTGATTAAAGCTAAAAGGACAAATATTGAAATAATGATGATTCTGTTCCTGTAGTCACAACCACAGACCAAAATCAGCACTAGTTGGCGCAATTTACACTGCTAACATCGCCAGCGGGAGCCCTGCCGCTGGAGCTGCTTATTTGCTGAGCCTGGAAACTGGGATGTTGCTGCTTCCTCTGCCACTGACAGAAAAAGAAAAAAAAAAATCGTCTAATGACAAACACTACCTCAGTCAGATGATCAAGGTTAACATCAAAAGTGATAAATTGATAGTATGTATTCTTGAGATGATGCGATGGAAATAGCACTTTTTCCTCTGTGAACTGCCTTCCCCAAACCCATAACCTCAATCTAATCATGTGAAAAACATCGGGCAAATTCTAATAAATGGGCTTCCTATAAAATATATGACTAGTACTCCTCAAAATTGTAAAAGTCATCAAAAACAAATTTAAGAAATTGTCATGGCCAAGGGGAGCCTAAGGAGACATGACAACTAAATGTAACATGGTATCCTGGGTGAGATCCTGGCTCAGAAAAAGGATCAGTAAATAAATTAAATAAATAAATAAATAAATAAATAAATAAATAAATATAAATAAATTTTCCAAGGACTGGCAGTTGATACAGAATACAAAAGAAAACCCTAAAGAAATACAAATAAAGTATGGACAGTCAGCTAATAATGAGGTTTCAATGTTATTTTTTATATTGTAACAAATGTAATAATGTAAGATCTTAATAATAGGGAAAAGTGCGTGTGTGTGTGGGGGGGGGTGTATATGAAAGCTCCCTGTACTATACCTTCTCAATTTTTCTATAAATCTAAAATAGCTCTAAAAACAAAATCTATTTTATAAAGAGAAAAACAAGAAACATTTTTTTGTCCTTGCATGTCACTAGCTCTTAATTCAAGTCTAAGCTATGTGTATCTAAATTGATTGAGTCCAAATTACATGCTCTGCTCTAGCTGCAGTAGAGACAAAGAAAGTGAATTTCAGCTATATTCCACTTCTATAAAGGGAGACAGGCTCTAACTTCTCCCCAAAACTCACAGAAAACTATAAAAATAGATAAGGTACTCAGTGATCAGAGGCCCCAAAATGACAAGTGTCCATTACACATAGCCTATAAAACCAAATCACCCTGCTAATGACTACCTAAAATTTCTGAACTGACCAGTGCAACTCACAATCTACACAGCACAATATTCTTAGATGTGTGGAACACAGAGTGTTAAGTGAAGAAATACAATAGTTTAATGTAAGGAATGCTTCCATTAGGCATTAAAACAGTCCTCATCAAATCGTGTTTACTAATACAGTCCCAATTGCTAGTAAAGTATTTTCCACATTTCCATATATTAGATTCTGAATATAAATATGCTGAATATATAAGTGGCCTAGGAAAAGTGTTGACTTAAGTCAGGTCAAGTTTTCTCTGTGTTATTTGAAAAATAAATACAGACAGGTTAGTTAATAAGCGAATCAAAAAATTAGAAGAGCTGGATTTCATGGTGATAGAAGGGAATGGAGTTTGTAGCAAACAATTCTATGCATCTTAAGGATCTAATCTCAAATGGCTTCAGAGTCCTTTACCTTTACAATAAAAGTCATGTAGTAAGAGAAATCTTATAAAAATTATGCCATGAAAATAGCTGGACCTTCAGTGAGGTGATTGCAACCTGAAAATAACCCTTCTTCAATTAAAGAGCAGTGCCTGAGCTTCAGTGGACTTTTGAAGACACATAGTCAGAAACCTCATATCTACCAGAGGTATGAAAGGAAGGCTGGTAATTGTCCCTCCTACTTTGTGCATTTTCTATTTATCTGCACTCTTAATTGGCTGAAGACCATGTTGAGCCTGTTTACTGGCAATATTTCCAAGTTAAAATTTTTATTTTGCCTAGCTAGTTAAATATGACTTTTATAAAGGTCAACCTCATCACAATTCATGGCACAAACCATACCCCCAATCTTGGTAAATGTCATTCCACAATTCTGTCATATCTTACCAATGGTCCTCTAACTCCTGAAGCACTGAGTAACAGTGGGACATGTATGAAGTGATCTGAACTTGAAGCTTAGCTGTGCCATCTTTTAGTTTCAATAAATTGGGGGATGATAATCTCTACCTAATAGTATTGTGGTGATGATTAAAATTTTTAATTTATTTATAATTTTAAGTTATTTATATTTATAATTATGATAGTAATGGATATAGAAGAGGTTACAAAAAAAGTCATAGTTTCCATCTTGTTTTACCTTTGTCAACTCATGGCCTAGGTTTGTTTTTTTTTTTAATTGTTTATTATTATTTACACCTACAGCACCTGGTCTTCCTAGGTGGTCTCCCATCCAAGTACTAACCAGGCCCAACCCTGCTTAGTTTCCGAGATCAGACATGGCCTAGGTTTAAAGCTCTCTCTCTGGGAAGATTTTCCTGACTTACTAGAGTTCTTCTGGGGCTCAATCCTAGACCTTCTCCATTCATTGTTTTCTCTATTTCTGCCTCTCTGTCTATCTGTCTGCTTGCCTGCCTCTATCTCTCTGCAACATCATCCCCATTCCTAACACCAGTCACTATCTACTCTGTAATTGACACAAATTTTACATGTCTAGCTCCCAACACATCTAAGATCCAGATGCCTTTATCTAATTGCCTATTTGAGAATGCTTCTTGGATCTCACAACATATCTCACACTCAGTAAGCCAAACCATAACTCATGATCTTCTATAAGAACTTTTACCCTGATGAAAAACTGAATTGAATCAGTGAATCAATAAATCAGTGAAAACTATGTTTGTCTATGACCATGCCACCCTGCACAAGCCCCATCCCTTCTGATCTTGGAAGCTAAGCAGGGTCAGGCCTGGTTAGTACTTGGATGGGAGATCATCTAGGAAGATCTAGTGCTGTAGGTGTAAAAAATGAAAACTAAGGGATTATAAACTGACAAGGTCCTTGCAATCTGTGAGGTCAACCAAGGGTTGCCTCGCCTAAAAAAAAATAATAAAGAAAGAAAACTATGTTAAATCACGTTATATGCAAGAGTATTTTCTTGAAATCACGTAATTTATTTGGTTCCAAGCAAATTGCGGTGGGGAGTGGTGGTGGGAGGGAGAAAAGAGGAAAGATTTTGGCCAATTTGCCTGGATAGGATGGGGGGCGGGGCACAGAAAATTTTACACGCCCTTCTCCCACCCACCCTAACGGTGATGTGCTTCCGACCTTTCTGTGGCCCTATGGTTGGAGGAAAGTTTATGGAGTATGCGGGACCTGGGGAAAGGGGCGTGTCTGAGAAAAGCGCCCTCTACAGACCGCCCCCTCAGCCGCGCGGGCTTCTGGGGGCTCCTTCCATGGCTGGTGCGCTTGCGCAGGAGTGCCCCCAGGCGCGCCTTGTCATTTGTAAGATAGTGCGCCTGCAGCCGCGTTTGGGAGGAATCAGGTGCAGTCAGGCTTCCTGGTTTGGGCGTCGATGCCAAAGCCAGCTCCCTTCGCCAGCCAGGACGGCAACTTTGGCGGCTCCTTTAGGAACTGGAGCCTGGCGTGACTCAACAGCCCTGGCTGGGAGCCTTGCTCTCAGGTTTCACCCGATTCAGCAGGCGGTGAGGACGCGGGTGCATGGAATTGGGAGTCCCGCTTCAGGGCGTCCACGCGGAACGCGCACTTCTCGTCTTGTTCTCAGCCACCGGGGTTATAGCACTGCGCTCAGCAGTCTCTGCATGAGAGAACAGAGATAAGGGGGTTAGTGGTGGGAAACGTGACGGCTGGGTTGCAGCAATTTCACTTTGCGTGCTGTTCCTTCTGAATCTCCAGGCGCTTAACCGGGGAAAGGTATCTCGATCGGCTGGTTTGAAATGACCAGTATTGATTCCTCATGATTCCTCATGGAAATACCAAGTGTGACTTGACCCATCAACTGGAAAAAAAAATGGAGAGAGGTTCATTCCAACTTGCCTTGCTTTCCCAATCATTCCTGGCCACTCCCCCCAAAATATTAAACGTCCAGGCATCATTCTTAATTTCAAACACTGGTTTGCAAACTATTTTCTGCTCTTAACTTTAGCTGAGCTAATCTCGAAAGCCTCTCCTTTCGAGATTAGCTACTGTTCTACCTATGACCTCTTCTGTTAAAAACCTCCCTCTTCACAGACAGATAACTACTTCTCCATGATTAGCACCTTTCCAGGTTCTTTGAAGCTGTAAAATTCTTTGAATTTGTGTCACCTGGTTATTTAATCGAACTCTCCAGATTCTTCTCACCTGAAATTTACCGAGCCCTCCTCTTCCCAATGGCACTGGGTCATCATCTTAACTCTTCATGTCTCACCATCATCCTCAAAGGCGTCTATTCAGTACGTTAGAGTTTAAACTTCCACACTTCTTGTCTTTGTTTATCCCAGCGTTCATCACTTACAGATCACTTAAGGCGCTCGCTGTCAGGGCCATACTTTGGCCCTTTCACCTGAACTGTTCTGAAATCCTAAATGCAAGCGTATCATCCTGAACATCTCTACCTGTCCTAGCTCTATAATTATTCACGTTGAGTAATGTATTAACCTATATTTTTAACTTATGGATCCCTAGTATATTTTGTTGCTTTTTTTCACTTTGAGTTAAATGTTTTAAACGTCTCATATTTAATTATATATGTGAGGCTTTCCATTGCCTAATAGTGGAGTTTGAGCTGTGCTCTATAGATTATGATGTGAAATGTTTTTATTTGAACTGTTTTTTAGAAGCAACATATAAATTTCAAAGTAGTTGAGAGTGTTTTTTATGTTTGGATTAAATTCTGGTTTTCATTCTCATAATAAATGGGGTTTGTACCACTCTATATTTTTTATTTATTGAGGAGTTTTTTGGTAGCCTAATAAATGCTTTTGCAAACATTCTCATAGGCGCTTGAGTAGAAACTACATTCTGTTTGGTGTATATATCAGACTAAGCATATTATATCCCCCATATTACTTAATTTTAGTTTTGTTGTTAAGGACTGAGAAAGTTGCCTTAGTCTCCCATTTCTATTGTGTCGTTGATTTCATCTCATTTTTTTTGAGGATTTTGATTTAAACAGATTTCAGTTATGTTATTTGGTACACTTAAAAGCAGCTATATTTCATTATGAGTTGTACCTTCAATCATTTAAAGTTTCCTCTCTATTTTAATGCATTTGTGCTTTTAATTCAACATGTAGTTTAATTCAGTATATCCTTGCATGTTTTGTTGTTTACATTTGCTTGTTATATTTTTATTTTTATTTCTTTTATTTATCCCTTAATTTTCAGCTTTGGAGTTATTTTGTTTTGGATGTCTCGTGAGTGTTTATCTACTTGAGTTTAAATTTTTACCCAATATATTTATTGTTACAATGAATAGCCTTGTTATTGTTTCTAATTTTAATTTTTTACTTTTTGTGCTTCCTTGTTGTTTTGTTTCATTCTATTTTTAACATATGGCCTGTGAGTCCCCTGCCCCCTTTCTTCCTTTGTATTAGTTTTTAAAGTATCTGGGCCTGTAGTTCATTTTTTTGCTGGGACTCAGTTATACCTCTTTGGCACTTTCAAACATTTTTTTTTTTAATGAACCTCGACTTTCCTTAAGCTTTGAAGAAGGTTTGTGTTGGAGCTCAGGAGTCAGGAAATACTTTTGTGCACAAAGTTTTCACTAATCTGTAAGATCTGCTAACAAGCAGACATACAAATGTATATATGATAATCTACTGAGTGCTTATTTTTTTAATGGACATTACATGGTTTCAACAAGACACAATGGAAAGTATTGAGAAGTGATATTCTGCCCATTTGCTTTCTAGGTCCTTTTTTTGTTTGTTTAAACCTTTTGACTCTCTTCACTCATTTCTCTCATTCTCCCACCTATTTCTTCTGGCAACCACCAATCTGTTTTCTGAATCTATGAGCTTGAGTTGTTGTTGTTGTTGTTGTTTTGTTTTTAGGTACTGCATATAAGAGAGCTCATATGATTTTTGTCTTTGTCTGACTTATTTCACTTAGCATAATGCCCTTGAAGTCCATCCATGTTGTCGCAATTGGCAAGATTTCATTCCTTTTCATGGCTGAATAATATTCCATTTTGTATATATACCACAATTTCTTTGTTTCATTCATTTACCAGTGGACCCTTAGGTTGTTTCCATATCTTGGCTCTTATAAACAGTACTGCAGTGAACATATGGGTGCATATGTCTTTTGGAGTTAGAGTTTTTGTTTTCTTCAGAAGTAGAATTGCTGACTCATATGGTAGTTCTAGTTTTAATTTTTTTAAGGAAAAATATTCTCGGAAGTAGAATTGCTGAATCATATGGTAGTTCTAGTTTTAATTTTTTTAAGGAAACTCCATACTGTTTTCCATAGTGGCTGCACCAATTTCCATTCCCACCAACAGTGCACAAGGGTTCGTTCTTCTTTACATTCTCATCAACACTTGTTATCTCTTGTCTTTTTAGCTATTATAATAGGTAGTATTTCATTGTGGTTTAGATTTGCATTTCCCTGATGATTAGTAATGTTGAGCATCTTTTCACATACCTGGTGACCATCTGTATGTCTTCTTCTGGCTGCACCAATTTCCATTCCCACCAACAGTGCACAAGGGTTCGTTCTTCTTTACATTCTCATCAACACTTGTTATCTCTTGTCTTTTTAGCTATTATAATAGGTAGTATTTCATTGTGGTTTAGATTTGCATTTCCCTGATGATTAGTAATGTTGAACATCTTTTCACAAACCTGGTGACCATCTGTATGTCTTCTTTGGAAATATATCTATTCATATCTTCTGCCAATTTTTTTTTTTTAAATTGGATTGTTTGTTTTTGCTATTGAGTTGTATGAGTTCTTTATATATTTTGGTTATTAGCCCCTTATCAGATATATGATTTGCAGATACATCCACAAGTCAGTCAGTGTAAGACACTGCATTAACAAAATGAAGGATAAAAATCATATGGTCATCTCAATAGAAAAAGCCTTTGACAAAATTCAATATCCACTTACATTAAAAACTTCCAACAAAGTATGTATTAAGTTCTTACTGCCTGTCAAGAAGTGAGATGAGTGTTCTTTTAATCTCTTTAATTCACTCAGATAGATATACTTATAGTCATGGTACAGATGAGAAAACTCAAGCTTTTGTTAAATAATTTGTTCAATTTTATATATATAGTAACTTTAACTGAGATTTAAGCTCTTGTCAGGTATGACTTTCAAGTACATACTCTTAGTCAGTATGTATTGCCTATAACAGTTTCTTAATCTCGGAATTCTTGATATTTTAGGCTGACAGTTCTTTGCTATAGAGGGCTGTCTTCTGCACTGTAGGTTGTTTAGCAGCATCTCTGGCCTCCTCCCAGTAATAACCCCCAGTTGTGACAACCAAAACTGTCTCGAGACATTGCCTTATTTCCCCTAGTGGCAAAATCACCCCTGAAAACCACTGACCTAGAGGCATACAGTCAGAATGACCCTTGAATAGTAAATTGCATCTGAACTGGGAGAATTGTAAATAGTATAACTGTATCTGAATTTACCTGAACATAAGAGTGTTATAGTTGGGCAAGCTCTTTGGGGAACCCTCAGTGTTCACAGAGTTGTTAGAAAAGATATTGGCTCCTGTGGGAAAGCTTTTCAGTCAAGATGCTTTCTACGTAACCTATTTAGGTCTCCTTATTTGAGCTATACTCTATGAAAACTCCCACTGAAGAAAAATGCCAGTTACTCTGCTAGCAAGCTATGTTTTCTGTCCAATAGCCTTCTGAATAAACTGGTGCCAAATTTGACCCATGTTAGTCTTGCGAATCTAAATGTTTGGTTGAGACTAAGACCTCCCTGGTGGATATTGCACACTGGCCTATAATGAGTCCTAACAAATGAAAATTATTGTCTATGAAGGCACTTTTTTATTTATCCCTAACAATGAAATGGCTCGTGGATATTTATTCTTATATTTTTAAAATAATAGTTTCTCACCTTAATTTCTAGTGCTATTGCCAGTTTTACTCATTTTATATAACTTTATTGGTATTTTAATGAGAATTTAAGAGGAGGTTTTTAGGCATCTCTAGAATGAAACCTTAATAACCTGAATATCTTGACTGAAGATTTGTTTTGCTTAGTTGTAAAGCAAAAATGAGTTGTTACCTGGTATGGGAAAAATTTAACTGCAATTAAATTATGAAGTTTGTTTTCAAAGGACTATTTCATTTATCACTTTTTTTTATGTGATGTCTATCAATATGTGTTTCTCTGTCTTTGGCAGGTGGTTGGGAGAAGGGACAGCATATTTTCTCGTTCTAAAGAAAGAAACAAGAATGAAAGAATTCATAATATTTATTTTCTTAGATAATTTTATTAATTTTACTTTTTTTTTTTTTAATCTTTTAGCACTATTCTAGTACATGTACATTATCTATTGGTCATATTTGTATCTTTTTTCAGTCTCTCAGGTACCTGAATGTTGACTTTGTATCTGAAGATCCTGGAACTTTTCTCTTGAACTAAACTTGGTTCAAATCCTACCACATATATATAGTACACAAGTGCTTAAGAATTTCTGGAATCCTCTGGTAAGACAAATCCAAGTAACAGAAGGAGTTCTATGCAGGAAGATGCAGCCCCTGAACAACTTGATGGCTATCTCAAAACCTGAAAACCCAGCTCTATGTGAACAAAGTGATGTCTTGAGAGCAAACTTGTCTTGGCAGCAGGAAACCATCCCAGTCATGGAGACCTATAACTCTGAGGCCTCTCGTCGAAAGTTCAGACATTTTCAGTACTTGGAAGTGTCTGGTCCTCAGGAAGCCCTGAGCCAACTCTGGGAGCTGTGTCTTCAGTGGCTGAGACCAGAGATTCATACAAAGAAGCAGATCCTAGAGCTGTTGGTGCTGGAGCAATTCCTGACAATTCTCCCTGAAGAGGTCAGGACTTGGGTAAATTTACAACATCCAAAGAGCAGCAAAGAAGTGGTGACCCTCATAGAGGATGTGATTGAAATGCATAAAGACAAAGGTGAGAATATAGAAAACTGGCAGTAGAATAGTTGACCCTTATGTGAAATCTAAAAACAAAAACAAAAATACTGAGCTCATAGATTCAGAGACCAGATTGGTGTTTGCCAAAAGCATTGAGTAACAGGTGGGTGAAATGGGTGAGAGGGTCAAAGGTACAAACTTTCAGTTATGAAATAAATAAGTCATGGGGTGTAATGTACTGCATGATGACTGTAGTCAATAATACTGTATTATTATACAGTATTATTTGAAAGTTGCTAAGAAAGTAGATCTTAAAAGTTATAAGAAAAAAATTGTAATTATATACAGTGACAGATGTTAACAACTTATTGTGGTGATCATTTCACAATATTTACAAATATTGAATCATTATGTTGTACTCTTGAAACTCATATAATATGCCAGATGTGCCTCAATTAAAAAGAAAGAAAAACGTTAAAAAAAACGTCAACCCTTCCCATTTGAAGAGAAATATCTTTTTTTGAGGCTACAGGGCGCCAAGGGACAGATCATGAAGGACTTTACTATATCAGGAAACGTGAATTTTATTTGTAGCAACAGAAAGAGAATGAGTTCTCACAGATTGGGTAGGGGAGTAAAACAATTTGATTTGCATTTTAAAAAGATCATGTTAGAGCAGGGGTTGGCAAACTATGAACCACAGGCAAACTATTTTTGGAAATGAAGTTTTATTGGAAGACAGCCACATCCATTCGCTTACATTTTGTCTACAGTTGCTTTCATGCTCTGGCCAGATCTGATTAGTTATAGCAGAAACTGTATTGCTTGCAAAGCCTAAAATATTTACTATCTGGATCTTTATAGAAAAAGTTTATCAACTTCTCATGTAATGGATAGACCTGAGGGCTCTGAAAATAGGAAAACTAGTTAGGAGACTGTTGTAATAGATCAGGTGTTACAGAATGAAGAGAACATTGGAAAAACAGAGGAATTTGAACCTAAAGGATTTATCAACTACCTAATAAACAAATTTAACAAAGTTTCAAGATAGAAGACCGCTATAAAAAAATCAATTGTATTTTTATACACTGGCAATGATCAGTCCTAAAATGAAACTGAGACAATTTTATTTACAATAGCATCAAAAAGAATAAAATATTTAACTATAAATTTAAGGAGATGTAAGACTTGTCCACTGAAAATTACAAAACATCGTCGAAAGAAATTAAAGAAGACCTAAGTAAGTGGAAATATATCCCGTGTTTATGGATTGGAACACCTAGTGTTGTTAAAATGATAATACTCCCCAAAACAATCTACAAATTCAAATGCAATTTATATCAAAATCCCAGATACCTTTTTTTTTTTGCAGAAATGGACAAGCTATGGAATTACAAGAGACCCCAAATAGCCAAAACAGCCTTGATAAAGAAGAACAATGTTTGAGGATGCACACTTCCCTAATTTCAAAACTTACTACAAAGCTAAAATAATGTGGTACCAGAATAAGACATATAGATCAATGTAATCAAATTGAGAGCTCAGAAATGAACTCATACTTCCGTGGTCCATTGATTTTCAACAAGAGATTCTAAGACCATTAAACGTGAAGAATGTTTAACAAATGGTACTGGAACAACTTGATATCCACAGGCAAAAGATTGAAGTAGGACTTCATACTATATGTAAAAAATCTATCAAAATGGATCAACAAACCTAAATATAAGAGCTAAAACTATAAAATTCTTAGAAGAAAAAAATAAGAGTAACTTTATCACTTTGACTTTAGTAGTTGTTACTTAGACATGGCACCAAAAATACAAGCCACAAGAGAAAAATTAGGCTTCATCAAAACTAAACACTTTTGTTCATCAGAGGATACTATCAAGAAAGTAAAAAGGAAACCTACAGAATGAGAGTAAATATTTGAAAATCATATCTGATAAAAGCCGAGTTGGGAAAATGTTGTGAAACCAACTCTTACAACTCTACACAAAAAGACAAGCAACACAATTTTTTAAATGGGCAAAGGACTTGAATAAATGTTTCTCCAAAGAAGATATACTAATAGTCAAAAAGCATAGGAATAATTGTTCAGCATCATTAGTCATTAGGTAATTGAATATCAAACCTACAATGAAATACCACATGACATCCACTAGGACAGCTATACTAATAAAAAATAAGTGTTGGCAAGGATATGAAGAAATTTGAACTCTCGTACATTGATTTTGGGAATGTAAAATGGTACAGCCATGGTGGAAAACAGTTTGGTAGATCCTTAAACATAGAATTACCACATATTCAACAGAATTGAAGACATGTTTACACAAAAATTTGTGCATGAATGTTCATAGCAGTATTATTCAAAATAGCCAAAAAATGGACCAATCTAAATGTTTATCAGCTGATTAATGGATAAAGAAATTATAGTATATCCATACAATGTAATAATATTCAGCCATTAAAAGGAATGAAGTACTGATACATGGTACAATGTGGATGGACCTCCAAAACATTATATTAATTTAAAGAAATCTGACACAGAAGGTCATATACCATATGATTGAATTTATATAAAATGCCCAGAATAGGTAACTCCATAGGACAGTATGGGAGGGAGGTAGAATGGGAGTGACTCATTTGGGGGAAATTAAAATGTTCTGGAATTAGATAGTGATGGTGGTTTTACAACATTGTGAATATACTCAAAACCATCGAATTGTATACTTTAAAATGCTTAATATGTGAATTTTATGTTGCATGAATTTTACCTCAGTTTTTAAAAAGAGTTGATAAGAGCTTATTGGATTAACTAAGGTTGGGTGTTAGATATAAAGGACAAGTGTGTAAGGAATTTGAAGACTGAAAACAGTGCTGAAAGTGATTTACCATGAAATTAAGCTGTATAGAGAAGCTGCAAAGGGACTTCACAAGAGGTGATAGACTGGGAGAAAATTGAGGAATCAATGTCCTGTGATGGGACTTGGATAAAAGTTGGAGAATATGCTACGAGCAAGGAAGTGAAAATTGAAAGAACAGGAAAACGTAGTTAGAGATTGACATATTCAAGTTTGTTCTCATAGTAGAGCAATTCTAGGTAATAAGGACTCAAGTGTGAAAAAGGAAGTAGCTCGATTATTGATGGTTTTTAGAAATAAGGATATCCGGGGTCGTCAGGCTGGGTTGTCTGTGCCAGTGTTGAAGTAACCTGTCATAATACTGGTGGGATTCAGGGTAGAAAGCAATAATGTAAGTTAAATAACCAGTTTTTATTGTCCTAGTACAATTATTTAATGTGTCACTTACAGTAGACTACAGGATCTCTGAGGACAGGTATTGTGTACCTCACACATAAGAGATGCTCAGTAAATATGTTTTGAATAAATGAGCAATTGCTTAGTCTATTATGACATCAAGAAGACCATAGGTAAGTGGCGTGAACTTCTAAGAAAAATTTTTCTACAAAAGTAGAAAAATCTTTATGAGGATGTGAGAATAGAGAAGTACGAGTATGTGAAAACAACTTCACAAACCATAGTACGAAGGGGTGGCTTTGATGAAAGCCAAGATCTGTTTTAGATTAGAAGAAGTAATATTCTACAAAGAGCTTAAGAATGCATATGAATTTTTCTCTGAATGGAATGGGGGCTTCTTAGAACACACTTGTAAAGGTTCAAGAAGGAGGTCAACAGGGAAGAAGAATTAAGAGAAGGAAACAGTATTCAGTGAGGGCCATTAATAAGGGAGTAGCTGATTGGAGCCTCTTGGAGATATCTCACATCTTTCCAAGAGTGACAAGAATAAGATATTGACTGTCCTAGGGATTATGGGACTGAGCTGACTGAGGTTTCACAAAGTGTTATATACCCGAATAAGGTTAATAGACTATAATCTTTTGTCAGCATTCAAATAGTATGTTGCTGAGAAATTTGGATTTTTTCTTCAAATTCTGCCTTTATTTACAAAATGGTCTCAAAAAGTATTTCCTACATTGTTTCTATTTTTTCTTATTTCATCCTGAGTCAATGAAAACTTCCCCACAGACTAGTATTGGTTTACAGTCTGGCATTTAAGGATTATTGATGTAACTAATGAATCTTGGAGAAAATTTAGGACAGTAGTCCTTGGGTATGCTTCTCACCAAAGGACTGGAGAAGAGAGGTGGTTGCTGCTCAGATTTTTACGTTTCTCGAAAGAGTAGTTCAAAGTGACCAGACTACTTAAGTCTGTGTGTAGCATATTGGAATTTAGAGGAAAGGAACCGTTGAGTAGAATTTTCCCCAAAGTGTTTGAGGAGGGATTGATTGAATAAAATATTCTAGCTCCTAGTAGAATTACAGCCTGTGGTGACTAAGCCTTAGGCTTTAGTTTTAACAGGATTAAAGTTATTTTTTGGAATCTGCTATAACCACAGATGAGGCCTCAAAATGTTATTTTGGCCCTCTTCCCTCTGATCCAGTTCTCAATCCCTGGTAGAGTATCAGAATCACTTTTAGAACTTTTTAAAAATACAAGATCTGGGCCCCACCCTTGGAGATTCTGGTCACTGGTAGAGCCTGACGTCATTATTTTTTCAAAGTTTTTAAAGATGATTCCTGTAAATAGCATGTTAAAATTGCTGCTGTAATCATGAAAAGTTTCGCCAAGACAAAGCTTTCTCCCTGATGTTTTCTTTTATCTTTCTCAGATATACCCTGCAAGGATTCTGTCCTACTCCAGAAGGGGAGCATCAAGGAGAAAAAGGAAGCTGACTCACTAACGGGCAAATTTCAGGTGAATTAGGATTCCACTCTACTGAAATGACCTGGTTCTTTTTCTTTCTTTCTTTCTTTTTTTTTTGGTTTGGCCTTTGAACTTTTGCCAAACAAAGCTCCATGTAAGGACATGAGATTTGTTTTCCCACAGGATATTGGACCTAATTTAGTTGGCGATAGACTCTTTGGAAAATATAATTTTGGCATATTTTCTGTGCATCTATTCCTCCAAGATTATAGTTGATAATTGAAGGTATAGAAATAGAGCCTACCCGAAGAGTGTTTAGAAGTGAAAGGAGCTAGGGGCAGAATCCTGACCAATGTCATTTAATCTGCAGGAGCAGAAGAAACCTCAAAGGATACTGAAATGAAAGGACCAAAATGGTAGAGGAAAACCAGGAAAATATGATGTCACTGAAAGCAAAGGATGAGACTATTTCAAGGAGAAATCCTTTAAAGTTCAAGGAAATTCAGCCTGAGTAGTGTCTTTTCACTCACCATCATGGAGATACTAACATGCATGGAGTAGAAGCCAGGTTGCAGAGGGTTGAGGAAAGAGGAGGAGAGACCATAGATAAAAATGATTGTAGACAACTTATTTACACAGATGGGCTCTGAAATAAAGGAAGGGAAGGAATTTGTATATTTCAGTGTTATTGAAAGTGCCAATAATTACAAGGTTGGGAATTCTGGAGAGAGAAGTGCAACAGCTGATGGTATGAGGGCCCTTATGACAATTATTTATGCAGTGCCTAATATGCCAAACACTTTTCTAAGGGCTGGCAATATGATGGTAAATGAATCAAAACTTTTGCCTTTGTGGACATTACATTTTGGTAGAAGTAGGCAACCATGAGCAAATAAAATATTGCAGATAGTAATAATTAGTACAAAGAAAAGAAACATAATGCAGTAGAAACTGATGAGGAGGATGGCTGCTTTGAGTAATGAGGAAGGGCCTGTCTGACAAGGTGACATTGGGATGCAAGACCTGAAGGTTAGCAGGCTGCATTTCTCAATTAGAGAAAATGCCCTGTGTCTTCTGCTAGCGGAGCCTACATCTTCATTACATATTTCCCTCAAATCGCTCTTAAATTCTTCATGTTCTTTTTTATGTAAATTATTTGTACTCTATAATAATTTTTTTCCATAATTATTCTGTCTTTTTCTCCTCAACCAAAATGTGAGATAATCTAGAGTTAGGATTATGCTTCGTTTTTGCTTTCATAGCCCTCACAGAGCACCAAGTCGATAGGCTCCTAATGTAACTTGATTTTTTATTATTTAGAACCCCAAACGTTGTCCTATCAGTTTTTCACATATTCTGGCTACCTACCCTTTTCTTTCCACGTTCATTTCCTCTTTAGTAATATTTTTGGGAGTGACTTTTGATTAAAAAGGAACTTAATATTTTAGGAACCAGTGACATTCAAAGATGTGGTTGTGGAATTCAGCGAGGAAGAGTGGGGGCACCTGGACCCTGCTGTAAAGAGCCTGTACAGGGATGTGATGCTGGAGAACTACAGGAACCTGAATTCATTACGTAAAGGTGGCTTCTATGTATTTACCTAATCTGCCCATTAGTAGTCTCTTCATCTACTGTTAAAAACTATAGGACTGCTGAAGCGGTTAAGGGCATTTGGGTTTGGGTTCAGATTTCCTAATGTCCTTTGGGCACAATGGAAGATTTTCCTGCTGTATCTAGTTGAAGCCCTTTCTGATGTAGAGTTAGAAATGCACAGATCTGTGGTGATCTCTGGCCTTATCTTTCAGAAACTCTTAATCTACTATACATAGGGATGGAATTCTCTTCCCTACAAAAATGCCTGAAGTTTCATGTATGTTTGTTTTTGTTTTCATTTTCCCTACGAATAGAGCACCTATTTTCCAAACCAGATGAGGTCCCCAAGTTGGAGTGTAAGAAAAAAAGATGGATAACGGAGCAAGAAATCCCAAGAACAATCATTTTTGGTAAGAACCAGGCAGATATGAAGCATTTGTAAAAAGCTTCTGTTTGTTAAATATATAATGTACAACTCAGCTTTTGAGGTGACAACAAAACTACCTAAAAAAGTCATCATTGCTTTTCATTCACAGATTCTTTTTCTTGTGTGGACAAACAAAATAGTGTTAGAAACAGACATTTAAAGCTGTGTGGCCTATCTGCCAGTTTTCTGATCCGTAACAGAGTTTGTAACAGTATCTACCTCAGTGTTACTTTGAGGATTAAATGAACTGATATGTGTAACACACTTAGAATAGTGCCTGGCACGTGGCAAGTGCTATATAAATGAATATCAGCCAACATAACATTAAATGATATTCTTTCTTTTAAAGAAAACACTGCTTTATCCTAGAGTGGCTTCAGTAATCTTCCATTTTTCCATCTTTTACTACAGAGCTCCTTAACTTGTGCCTTAACTCCCTACTCTCATCATAATCTCTTTATTCTTATTAACATTTAGTTTGTGAGAGATTATAAATTATTGTGGGTGGGCTTAATGTTAATTTTATGGAAAAGTACGAAGAGGAATATCACTCACCCCATTACGTCACTATCCAGAGCTATGTAATATTAACACTTGCTTAGTTTTATTTTTTTAATTAATCAATTTGTTTATTTTATTAAAAATTATTGAGGTGACATTGATCAACAACATCCAATAAGTTTCAGGTGTACAATTCAACAGTAAGGCATATAAATATTGCATTATGTGTTCACCTCCCATAGTTAGATTTCTTTCTGTCACCACATATTTGACCGCTTTTACCTTATCTACCTCTCCCCTTTCCCTCTGGTAATCACTACTCCACTATCCATAAGTCTCTGTTTGTTTGTTGCTTTTAGATTTATATCTCACATATGAGTGATATTATGTGGTTTTCAACTTTTTCTATCTGACTTATTTCAGTTAGCATGATTATCTCAAGATCCATCCATGTTGTCCCAAATGACAGTATTTCATCTTTTCTAATAGCTAATATTCCATTGTATATATGTACCACATCTTCTTTATCCAATCATCTATTGTAGGACACTGGTTGCTTTCCTGCCCTGGCCACTGTGAATAATGCTGCTATGAACATCAATGTGCATATATCTTTTTGGATAAACACTTTCAAGTTTTTTGGGTAAATACCCAGTAGAAGGATTACTGGGTCATATGGTAGTTAAATTCTTAGTTTTTTGAGGAAACTCCATACTGTTTTTCATAGTGGTTATACCAATTTACACTCCCACTTGCAGTGTACGAGGGTTCCTTCTTCTGTAAAACCTCTTCAACACTTGTTATTACTTGTCCTGTTGATGATTCTAACACGTAACACTTGCTTAATTTTCTCAAGTTATTTTTTTTTGTTTGTGATAATGTGTCTCTTTGGCTTATGAAGATTTCTTTTATTCCAGAAGGGTTCATCAGGAATATGTCATTATATGTTCTGCTTTTCTCATCTAATGTAATATCCTGAGGAATAGCCTATTTCACTAAATAGTCTGTAAAATGTGGTTTCTAATTTACTTATAACATTTCATCACATACCTATATCAATATATTTAACCATTCCTCCCTGCCACTCCCAACTGTTAAGTATTTAGGTCGATGCCAATTTTTTAGGTATATCTGATGACTTCCATAGGATACTGTTTTAGAAGTGGAACTTCAGCATCAAGGGGTATAAATATATTTAACTGTCTTGTTACAGTGTGCCACATTGTCTACAGAAAGGTTATACCAATTCAGACTCTCACTAATAATAAGAGTATTATCTCTCTATTTCTTAAATATCTATTTATTGCTATCACTCTAGCAAACACCTGGATATTGTTAATTAAAATCTGTATTAATTTGATAGGAAAATTACTTTATTTATTCCTTTCTAAGATAAATCTTCTCCCTCAGTTATCTTTTGGATCCTCTTTCAGTAAAATGATCTTTCTTCTGTTCTTTGCATTGTTGACTCCTGTTCTTCCTTTGGATCACAAAAGGGTCACAATTCCTCAGGGAGACCTTTCTTGACTACGTTAGTTTTTCTGTTATATACTCCCATAGCACCATATTCTTCCTCTTTTAGCACTTATTACAATTATATTTTACATGTATCTGTGTGAGTTTTTGTCTCCCACACCAGGCTTTATGTTCCCGGAGGGTTGGGACCATGTCTCTTTTGTCCTTTATATCTAGCCCTTAACATGTACATAGGAGCCAAAGAAAAAATGGGTAGATGGATAGATACTAGATGAGAAAGGTAAAAATTATTTTATTTGTTTTTGTTATTTGTGATTCAGAAAGTGGTTTTATGTCCTTTATTAAAACTTCAGTGGTTTTTAATTAATATATTAAGATCTTATGTAAGTTCTCACTATTGCCCATGGTTATGGCAAATGAGATATCTCTAAGGTATTCTCCTTTTTTATTATTTTATTAATGGTGTCTGCTACACATATTTTTAAAATTTATGTTATCAGACATGTTCCTCTGTTGTTTTATATCTGTTAATTTTATACAGAATAATTTTTCCATCCTCAAACCAAGAAACTTATTTCCTGATTTTATTCTAATTTTATCATTTAAATATAATACTTTACTCAGTCTGGAATTTACTTCAGTAAATACACATAATTTATTTTCCCAAATAGTTAATGGATTGTGGTGAATTAAAGATGGCCACAAAATCATCGTCACTCTCTTCATCAAGATATAGACTTTGTTTCCCCTCCCGTTGAATCCAAGCTGGCACCAGACTGTTTAATCACTAAAATGCAGCAGAAGTGACACTGTGCCAGTTTTAAGTCTAGTTTGTAATAAAACTTTCAGCTTTCACTTTTTTTCTCTTGGAAGTCAGCAGCCACTAGTGCAACTATCCCGATATTGCCATACTTGTGAGAAGCCCAGCTTAGCCACATGGAAAACACACACACACTTTAAAGGCTCACCAAATGAATCAAATGCACATCTAGATTTAAAGCCAGTCATCCAAGTTTATTAAAGATAGTATAAGGTAAATTTGGACAGAGAATATAAAACCAAATTTTAGACAGCAAAATTAACTATTTGGAACCTATGGATTTTAATCTGTAAGGACAGGTAAGCTCCTGAAGTTATTTGAGAAGTTGAAAGAAATTGTCAGATGGTCCAAAGAAAGGCAGAGGTGGTTCGGCACGGTCTGGTCTCCAGGAGATATGTAGGCAGAGACCCAGGATTGGTACTATAGGCTAAAGTTTAAAGTGTCCATTTTTGTTTTAAGTTAGAGACAGGAACAAAGTCTTATAGATAAAGAATAACTTGTGACTTTGGAATTAATGGTCAGGAATAAGCTAGTGACTTGAAATCTATTTAGTGACAGCAAAAGGAGAATAAATCATGGGTTAATATATGAAAAGACAGTGGCATTACCACTAAAATCAACAGATAAGAATACCTATTACCATAATCACTTAATATTGCTGAAAGACTTAACTAATGAAAGATAAATGAAACATGAGAAATTTAATTAGAAGAAAAAGCTATTATTTGCAAGTGATAACTTTTCGTTTAGAAAATCTGAAAGACTCAGCATCTAAACTATTACATCTGTTAAGAGTTTTGTAGGTGGCCATATGAAATTAAAATATCATATTAAAACTAAGTGACTTAAAAATAACAAAATGCATAAAAGTGATTTTAAAAGGAATGAGGAAGTAATATGAAAAATGAGTTGTGCAAATAGGAGGAGAATAACCAAGATTTCTTTAGGAAAATACAATTAAGAATGTTGCTATTCAATAAATACTGCCAGAAATATAAAGCATAATCATTATTCAACATCTCTTTATGGATTCTAGTGTGAATATGAGAACAACAATGACTTATTAAACATTTAGGGAAGTTCTTTCCACATAGACTATGATATCTCAGGCTCTTATTTGTTGGGTTGGAAGAGAGTAGGATAGTCAGGTAAAGATGTCCTGTAGACTTATAAAAAACTAAGGTTGATAGTATAGGTGAGACTACAAAGCAGAATATGCAATTTGGCTATCAATAAAGCATGGAAGATAAAAACATTAGATATACCTGAAGTTATGTGGAAAAGGAGATAGTGAAAGTTTAATTTTTAAAAAATTGCTGGAACATACAGTGTACCTGGTATATTTATACAGAAGCTAATTGAAAAAGAAATTTAGAGAAGGGATGTGGAAAATTATTAAATGAAACAAACTGAAGACAGGTGAAAAGAAAAGAACGTAATCTTAATCAGAACAGGTAAAGTTTTGAGTTCTAGGAAATACTTAGGAAAATATCATAGCACTGTTAGAATCAGGAGTGATTTTGAACCTAGAAAAAGGATGGTTTCCCTCCCATGTATATTAGCAGTTTTTTTCTGCCTTTGTTAAATACAGGGAATAATTGCAGCTATATGGAAAATAGGGGCACTGTGATGGCAAGTTTACTTTTAGCTGGTTAAGGTGTAGTACCTGTAAATGTAGACATGTTCCTAAAGATATGGTTAGATTGATGTTTTAGAAGAGATTATTTATTATGGGCGAATAGCTTGGGTTAAAAGAGACAAGGTGCTAGAGAAAGGAAAAGTAAGTATAACCTTCACAGACGAATTATGAACCAGTGATAATGTGAGCTAGGATATGCCACCCCATTCCATTTCATATGCTGGTTTTTACCCAAGCCCTATGTATTCACCTTAATGTTCCTGAATACCTCTCCTCCTATGATCTAACTTTTAAAAATATTTTTGCCCATTTATTCTGAAATTCTGCTTTTCTAGCCTTGCCTCACATTTCCCTTCTGTATTTAAGGCCCATAAAATATGCATATCCTCTTATGTGGTTTAGCCTCCCTTTCCTAATCAATTTCTATTCTTCTTGTTTGTGGATTTTTTTAATTTCTTTTTAGACAGACAGACAATTTCAGAAAATCAAGATTCAGTTCTGAAGCAGAGAATTTCTGGAGAAGAATCATCCCATGGAGTGATTATGACAAGACTAACCCAAAGTGGACCTTCTTTAGATGCCTGGAAAAGTGATGATTGGGATCATTGGGACATAAATTTGCCTCAAGGAGCTTTCATTCATAAGACAGTGTACACTGAGGAGGGAGACTTTGAATGTAGTGAAAATAAAAATTTTGACGTTAAGTCAGTTAACTCAGTTTTTGATAAACAACAAGGATTTCCTATGAGAAAAGAGTCCCTAAAATGTGATAAGTTTAAAACTCAGTTCAAATTTAATTTAGACTCAGTAGGTAAGCAACATTCAGAATATAATGAATGTGAGAGTGCCATGAGCCTGAGTATAGATATTCGTCACCCAAAAAGTCATACCACAATGAATTCCTATGAATGTTATCAGTGTGGAAAAGCCTTCAGCCGTAGTTCATCTCTTATTCGACATCAGATCATTCACACAGGAGAGAAACCCTATAAATGCAGTGAATGTGGGAGATTCTTCAACAGACGTACAAACCTCACTAAGCATCAAAAACTTCATACTGAGGCAAAGGCCTACGAAGGCAATAAATGTGGAATCACATTCAGTAAGAGTGAAGACAGTAATAAACATCCAAGTCTCCATCCTGGAGATAATGCCTATGAATGTGTTAACTGTGGAAAGTCCTTCAACCGGAGCTCTTCGCTTATTCGACATCAAATGATTCATACTGGAGAGAAACCATTTAAATGTAAGGAATGTGAGAAAACCTTCAACAGGAGTTCAAACCTTACTAAACACCAAAAACTTCATACTCGGGAGAAGTCCTATAACAGGAAGAAATGTGGCCTTACTTTCAGTCAGAGTGCAGAACTCATTCACCATCCATGAATTTATGCTGAAAGGAATCCTATGAAAGTCAAGTGGAAGAAAATTTATCATAGATGATTATTTAATTGATATGACAGAATTAATTTCGGAGAGAAATATATTACTGGATAGAAATCTGAGGGAGCTTTTCCAGGCTTCCAGATGAAGCCACAGGGTTTGGCATTAAACATACCACCATACAAGTATTTGTCTATCATTATTCTGAGGTCCATTACCATCATCTTTCCTTAGTTCATACATAGGACCTATTTTACTTGATATATTGATGAAGTACATATTAGGGAGGAGCCAAGCAATATCTTTGGACTTGATATTTAATAAAACTCAAACTTTAAATTCTTATAAGAAGGACACAAGAAACCAAGAACTCACAGGTATATAGGAGGACATTTCTAAGGACTGAATTCTGAATTAATAGCAAAGACCAGAGTGACAGCCAGTACTCCACCCATGATAATATCCTTGGCTGTCCTGGGGCTGGATGGGGACTAGAATTGGAAGAGGGTTATCATCTGCAATGGGAAGTGGATATGTTATTGCTAATCTACCTGTATTCTTTAATGTCTGTATTTTTTTTTTTTAAGTATTCCTTGGGATCGAAGCTGGAGAGACATTCATAGCCCTAACTCTATCACTTATCCTAAACATTAAAAGGTCAATAAAGTGTCCTACTACTTTGTACACCAGAACTGCCTCTTTATTCTATAAATTGCTTCAGGATCCAAAAAGTTCTTGAGCTAAGAAGCTTATCTTAACCTGCCCAAAACGATTCATACTGTAGACAATCCCAATGAATGATGACGATGGCTTTTTGTCAGTTGATACCCTGTTCAAAAGCAGAAAATGTATACTGGTGTGAACCCCTATGATGAGTTAATGTGGAAAATTATTCTGTGTTCATTTGTTCATTCTTTACATCACAGCACAAAGTTATATTAAGACAAAACTCTACACAAGTATTTGGTATGGAATTCCTATAAACATGAGGCAACTTGTTTAGATGATCCTAACAAGAGAAAAACACTCTGAATGTAAGAAATTCTTGAGGTATATAGTTCAGTCACTTGTCAGAGCAATTACATGGTTAATATAATGTATTCTGACATTCTCATTTTAGGCGTTCTGAATCTAATAGTTCATTTTTTTTTAATAAGCTGTTATTTGGGGCAGTTTAAAAAGTGCTATTTTTATTTTTTATCTTTCAACAGCGAGGTATTTGGGTCTAAGTAAAATGCTTATTTTTTTCCCTAAATCTCTAAACATTCTAAAAAATAAAGATGTTTACTATTGACTGTATCAAATGTACATAGCTTCAAAGAATGCTTCTTTAGAGGGCATTTAAAGTTTAATTTTTGCAGAACATTTATAGCCAATTAATACCTTCCCCCCAACCTTTTCCCAGAAACCTATTTAATATATATTTGAATTATACTGTATGCATTCAAGGGCACATATCTAAGCTGAACATGTAGAAAGAGTGGAAATTAGCTAGATTGTGTGGGGTGGAAGGTGGGACTGTTAGGAGAGATGATAAAGGAAAAACAGGAGTACAAAGCAATTTATAGAATAAAGAGGCAGTACAAAGAGGGGTGAGGGCGTGGCATCAGAAAACAGAAGTTCACTGGCTGAAACATGGCTCTGGAAAAGAATGGGGCAGTAAGACATCTAGGTAAAGCTATAGAGAGACTCAAAAGCCAGATCATGAAAGGCTTGTAAGCCACCTTAGAAGTTTGGACTACCCTAAAGCTAATGGCAAAAGATAAAATTCTTATCTTCAAAATTATTTAGTGCTCTGAAAGTGCTAATTGAAATGAGAGAAGGAAAGTAAATGGAAATTGGAAAGGAGAAAAATCTTGCTGATGATATGGTAGACCATCAGGACAACCTAAAAAATCAATTGAAAAGCTTAGATTTAATAAGCAAATTCAGATATACTACCCTACTCCCTTCAAAAAATGAATAAATGGAAAGATGTTTCTGAATGAGAAGACAGATGTTGAATCTTCCCACATTAAAATATAAGTATATTCTAATCAAAAATTTCATTGGGAAGATCATTTCACAAAGTGCTTATGAAGTTTATTTTATAGGTACCACTCTAGTAAGCGAAGATGATAAGAGGTATCACTAAATATGACATTGAGTTTGGTGGCTAATGAGCCAAGCTTCTGAGAAAAAAATATTTTTATTTTTTATTTTTTGATGAAAATGCTTCTTATAAACCACCTACATCTACTAAAATATATGGAAAATCAAACTTCTAGGTTTTGATCCAGGATTAGCCACTAATTTGTCATATAACTAGTTATTTAACTTGAGACTCTTAATATCTTACCTGAGAATGGGGATACCTAGCCCACATTTTAATTATACAGCTCAAATGGGATAATATAGTACTTATTTCTTAAGTACAGGAATTGCAAATGAAATGCAAATATATGATTTTTAATATTAGAGCTCAAATATTTAGCAGTGTTTGGGTCACAGTAAGTACTTAAAAGTCATAGCTAGCAATTATAATCTACCAAAGAAGCAGTAGCCTGGCTCAGCAACTAACAATCAACCCTCTGACACATCAAATGCAATAAATTCTAATTCCAGGGATGAAGGATTCCCAACTATGAGTGCTCAGGTTTTCTAAGAGTCAAATTGTGAAATTTCAGCATCGGCATTCATCATAGATACAGTGATTCGCTTTTAAATAGGGATATAGATCCCACTCTTCTCCCACCATTCACATTAATATATTTTTAATTGTGCAACAGTTTGAAATTTTTTCAAAAGGAGAATCTTGCTTTTTCCTATCCTTAAACTAAAAAAGGAAGGTTATAACTCTTAGAGGCCTGTTCAAAGATAAACTATGGAAAAATCCATTCGAAAATCCAGTGGCAATAAATACTTGCAAAAATTTGCATGTCTGTGTGTGTTTACGCATGTGAATGCAGTCTTACCAAGCACAGCAGATACTGACCAGACCTAAGCAATTATTTCAAAAGCAACAAAACCTAGCAAAAACTAACTTTGGCAGGGAGAGGGGTGGCGATTGGTGGTGGTGCATATTCACCAGTAGCCTGATAACCTAAAAGTGTGTACTGATGGGCAACTGCCCTACTGGAAGATGACAGGAGAGTAAGGGAAGCTTTTGCCCACTGGAAGATAAAACCAAACATATCTAGTTTAATACTTAAATATGAATATTATAGAAGAAAACTTAAATATGTATATCATGAAATGGTTGAGGGAAGAAAGGGAAGAGGCTATTAGAAGATTAAGCTACCACAGATAACCTTCCTTTATATCTTCATGGATGTAAATGGTAACATCTCACTGGGTTTAACTTCTGAAATTGTATACTTTTTTGGAGTTGATAAAAATCTAAATGTTCTGCATCAGCTACTATTTGGCTCTTTAATTCTAAAATAATTCCTTCACGTTCACTATTAGTGGATAATACATAAGTGGAAAGAAACTGACATGAGGACTACCTGCAGAATGTACATGACTTGATGCTGTTTTAAAGTTTTATTTCTTGTCAATTTAATTATGAACATAGTTACTAAAATAGAGTGCTGATAGTTTAAAGAGGAAGGGAATTTTTCAGTCAAGTTTTTCTTCCTGTGAATCAGTTTTCATATACCAGCAACTGAAAATATTATTTCTGCATAGGGCACCTGTAACCATTTTAATGGATTTTTGCTCCTAAACCTCCAAATTCTAATTTTTTTTTCCCCCTCTGGGTGTATTTGGAATCATTTGAAGATATGGCGAACTTATGGTGGTGCTGTCTCTTCAGTAACATCATCTCTTAAATATTTATAGAATGTAAATGCTGTACTAGAATCTGGAGACACTCCAGGAACTCATAATACCTAAATATCACACAAGGTGGCAGGCACTAGACAAATGACGTGAAAGCATAGGATTCCAGAGACCAGATTTGGCAAAGTTTAAGCCTCCAGCGTGGAGTCAAAAATATCGGGGATGACTGTGAAACTGCATTTCGAGTTGAGACGAAACACTTGCGGACCTGAGTCCTGGCTGTGAAAGGTTCCCTGTCCATCCCTCCTTTTCCGTGCACTTCTCCTGGGGAAAGGGCAAAATGGTGAGAAGGCTAGAGAGGAAAGGAGTCTAGAAATCATCCTTTGTATATAGTCTGAAGAGATAAGCTAGGAGATCTTCAGTGTGTGCTTCTACAATTCGTAGCTTCAGCCTATCCACAAAAGCTAGAAATCAAATCTGACCCTCTCTCTGCTCTCCCTCGAAAGCCGCTTCAATCTGAGAGGGCAGGGAAGGCTGAACTGCCTGCCGTGGCAGGAACAACACTGAAGGCCACGCTTAAGTAACTCGCACACTGTGTACCCTGGGAGCTCATCCCAGCTTGAAGGCACCTGCCCGTGGGGCGGGGCCGCGCCGGGGCGGCCAGAAGTGGAGCCTCCCAGAACCTGCGGAGTATTCTTGGGCTGCGACCACCTTCCCCTGCGGGCGCAGTGGGGGTTCCGCCAACTGGGTTTCTCTAACAGGGTAGGTTCACAGAGTCTACGTTCCTGGCTGCTTTGCAGACTCCAGAATCCACAAGCTTTCACAGGAAAACTGGGTAACTGTTAACGTTTTGGAGCTTCTCTTCACTTTATTATTGAGGTGTACGATAACTTCTGTTCCTCAGTACCATGAAAACCGCTTGCCACTTGGTGCCGGAAGACTTGGTGATATTTCCCACTGGCCTCTCCACTTGATATCTTGGGTCTAATCATGAACCGTTGAGCCATAATTTTTCAACTATAGAGTATGTTTAGTAGGACCTTTCCTGAAGTGACTGAAATGAGAACAGATTTTTGAGAAGACTTCCCAGAATCGGTGTGCTGTGAAAATTAATACTTTATTATGTGGTAGGCACTTTTTAGAGCTAAAATATAAATTCAGTTAAGAGCCCTTAGGACTCTTGTTATTTCAACCCCTATAATCTACAGCTAAGGATACTTAAACTCAGAGAGGTCAATTAGTTAGCCTAATCCCGTACCATCAGATCCTGAATCAAAGGCCAGCAAATTCTTAAACTGTTTCAGCCACTATGCTTTTCAGTTCACCAGGAAACTTTTTCAAAGACTGGCAAAGTTCTGACTCGTTTGCCAATTAATTTTAATGTTTGGTGACAGACATTTGCACAGATGACTCATGGTGATCTGTATATATTCTAAATTCTAGGGCCTGAGATGAACAAAAACACACCATTGCGTTACCTTTTGGACTGGCTTGTATAGTTTTTCAGCCTCTGCATAGCCTAGTATGATATTCAGGAGATATTAGGATTTAATCAATTAATTTGGTAAGCGTTTCTGACGGGATCTGCCTAACTAATAATTGACCTACCAGGATTGCTAATGACAGTCTGCATTACTCCCGGTTCACACTGACCAGATGATTATAAAAGTTTGTTGACGTTAGGTAGAAATACACCCTGTCTTCATAAAGACCGATCTGAGCTCAGGCAGCCTAGCTCTTAACCACTAGGCAATACTTATTCCTAAGATTTTGCATATTTTGCTCACTGTTCTCAAAACACTTTTAACCTCCCCCCAACCCCACCCCATCACCACCACCTCATTTCAATTTATTCTGAACTAAGATTAGGACCACTCTCTCTGGAAAGTCTCCCCTAACTCCTCTCCAAGGCTGGGCTTGACCATTC